GAACCAAGCTTACGATAGATATATGCCGATGGAGTAGCTAAATTCTGAATATCGTTAAGGTTGTATGTTTGACCCTTGCGTCGCGTAGCACCTTCAAGAGGTTGCACACCAGCCCCCATCAAACCGCGTCCGCTTATCTTCTTATATATTTTTTTAATTTTCACGAAGGTGCTTTAGCCGCGCGACTCCGCCAAGTGCGGAGCCGTACGGCTCTTCGGTTTAGACATAGCCTCACGCTTGCTTCTGAATTCATCAAGATCATCATCATATGGTTTTAGTTTAGGGAATTTAAAGTCCTTAACACCATGACCATTCATAATACTATAGAATAGTTTACCGGTGTTATCAGTACGCTTCTCTTCGATAAGATTTTGTGGCCGTAGCTGTGGCTCGACCCCATCAGGAAGATCACCTTGTTCATGCAACATGAACATAGCATCATACAGAATGTCTACCGAGCTTGCCCACTCAATCTTAGACATTAAGTCTGTTTTAAATTTCCCAGTTGCAAGAGGGTGCGTACTACGTCTTTCGTTACTAGCATCAGCTTGATTTATGACTCTAATACCAAACTGATGGTTATCACCCTTTGCGTTGTACCAATAGAGAAAGTGAGTATAACCGGTTTGCCCCCTGATATATAACATGACTCTGAGGTCAATAACTGAATGATCATCATATGCTTTCTTAACGTAGTCCTCGAGAATTGACCTTGCCTCTTGATCTGGTATACTTAGCCTTGCATACGGACGATCGTTACCCATCTGTTTATCACCAGGCTTCGTCTGCCTTAGTAGTTCGGTATCTAATAGCTCGGACTCTCTAAAGATCTTACGATGGTTCGCATGAATGATTTTATCCATTTCCGTTGTTCCAACATCAAGATGTTCAGCTTTAACCTTCTGCAATATAGAGCTTAGCGTAGCAACATAATCAATATCATTTTTCAAATTAGTAGTTTCACGTTTCGAGCGATAATTAATCACTTTGAACTCACCTTCACGGGCGTCTTGCTTTAGATAATAGTCATATGATTTATAACCTCCATGTTTAAAAATAGGCTCAATAGGTATACGATTCTTTTGGAGTAGTTTTCCATAGAATGATAAGAACCAATAGAGTCGTTCTCGACTTATGTTTTGGTCTTCTCCAGTATCAGCACTCTTAGTGGATAGCTTAATAGCGGACTTTTTTTTCTCATTTCTTCTTCTTGGTCCTTGAAGTATAGTAGTATAGCATCTCTAACACCCTCATCATCTCGAATCATATCCCTTTCAGACACAATCCAACTAAGTTTGGATGGAATCGACTTAACTTTGCGATTAGATGAAAATCTAAAGATATTTTCGATGTAATTTCTGTTCATTGGTCGCGCATTCATATCGCGAGGGAGGAGCTTAAATCTTGATAGTACTGGATTACGCTGATATAACCCAATGAGATGTTTGTGAGATTCATTTTCAGCAGCCAATAGTGGTTCGATCGTTTCCTCAGTTTTTTTCTTCTTCTGAAGCCGGGAGAGGGGACTCGGTCCGAGGGTCTCCGACTTCGAACGTCGTTCGTCTTGCGACCCTACCGTGGTATCAATTACTATTGGAGGCTTTTTTAAAAAAGACCATCATCAGTCTGAATAGACGAATCCTGAGTGGATTGTTTAGAGACTGACATCTGATGCCCATTGAGCATCTGCGTACATTCCTCGCTTCTGCTCTTCTTGCCTTACACGGCGCTTGACGCGTTCAAGTAGGTCAAGTCGTTTTTACTCGCGTTGAGCTAATGAAG